TCAGAGCGCAAGTGCGATACTGATCTATGACGACTTTTATCGCCATTGGACGTCACGTTTGACTAGCTGATGATACCATTGTCGTCATCGGGCAAAATTCAATAAAAGGTTAATTAATTCTGAATAAGGCTTCTATTTCATTACTATAGAATGATGAAATTTTATTTTACATATTTGAATGTGTTAGAGTTCATTTGTGGTTGTCGTGTTTATAGTGAAGATTCACTTCTGCAGTAGTAGCGCTCACCTGACAATCTCTATTAATTTCCCAATAAAATATCAATTGTAAAGAAGAACGTTTAAAATGTAAAGGAGTTTCCATTCTGAAAAATTAATCATTCCTGTACATAAGCTTCACTCACTTTGAATTTATAATCATTGACATTGAAAAATGTTATTTTTACGCGATAAAAGGAAATAAAAACCATTTCCGATATTCTCCTGTTCAGAAGGCGATGAATTGCAGTAATGTGAGTGGAAACGTCGTAATTAATCAGAGTGGCACACGAATCGATCGTGAAAGTTTATTCATGTTCAACTGTTAACATTTTTCTTTATATTCCGATTTAAAAACTCAATCACAGGAAATAAATTCACACAAAGATCTATGTTACGTTTATAAGATTTTGAATAAAAAATAATTTTCTATTTTTAATTTCCAAACTTCTGAACCGGAAAAGTTTACATTTGCCGTATTTCGAGTTAAATTAACCCTGAAATTAACTGAAAGCATAGTAGGAACAACAAGTACGATATTCGAAGAATATATAAAATATATATTGAAATCCACCTTTCCCTTAACGGTTAATCAGGAATTTGAAGGGTGAACGAGTCTTATTTCGTCATTCCTTTAGTCGGAGCGAGATGATATCAATAATGGATGCATCAAGCTTTATTAAACGTTTATTGACAGTATCAAATTGATCAAGAAGATAATACGATTTCATTATCATTAGACTGTCACAATATAAAACGACAGTTTATTAAGCGAGACATCAAAATGTATTAATGTGCTTTAATAATAAAAAGAAACTGATGTTGCGATGTAGTTTTGGCGAAATGGACATAGGAGAGGGAAAAAATAAAAATTAAACTGTGATCTGGTTACCACTTACAAGGGTAATTTTACAATAGTCTAATTTTACAAGTTCGCCACATCTTGTCCATCAATTATAGCATTAACAAGGGAATGATTATTTATGATAAAACGAAATCGAAATTCTGTAGATTTTTATGAAAATGTTTAAAAAATTGCAAAGTTAATTAGTAATTAAATTTGAATAATTATGGTAAAATAATTGTAATAATTTTGGTATAATTAAATTTTTTTTAACTAGTTACATACATAATAGGAAATTCTTAAGCTGAGAACACTATAACAAAAATTCTTATTTTTCACTTTACACAATCGTAGACTTTCTATAGACTATCGTTAATTTCACACTTGTAAGATAGCTTCTGGAAATAATCAAGGTCGTATTAATGAGATTTGTTTTATAATGTAATGACACCGACGCTCACAAAACCGGTAGCCGCAGTCCTCGGGGCTATTGCTCATTACATATCCGAACGTCATTGATCGAGCGACAATATCCGTATTGTGCGAACAAATACGGCGATGAAACTGATACTCGGACAAAGGCAATCGAAAGGTAGTGACGACATGACGACACGAAATCATGTATTGTTGGTGCGATTTTGACGACCATTAATTTGGTTTTCCGAGGCCAATTCGCGATATATGTATCCCTGGATCACTTAGTAAACTACGAACTTCAAAAAGCTTTATTGAAGTTTAACACTAGAATTATCGATGATAAACGCATATCTGTTTCAATCGGTCGATGAACATGATAAACATTTCAAAATTTACAAAGTAACTAATTCCTTCACTTTCATTTCATGTATTTGCTATAACATTTTAATATCGTTATAGGAGTGTACTGACAAGTAATTTTGACTTGTTTGGTAGTTTTAATATTAAGAAGGTGTTCATCTTCTTTTTAACACGGTGAAAGAATTCGTAGAAGATACAAGTATCGCGAATTAGTCAATTAAAAAGAAGGTATAAATACGAAAATTTATGAATACTGCGAAGTTTTTGTAATTTTTATAGTCGAAAAGAACTCGATTCCTGTATGTATAGTGCAAAATAAAACTTTAAGAATATGTAAAAAAAAATCGCGTAATGAAGTATATGTACAATCTGTATACAGTAAATGCTCGCTGAATGTTCGAAGGCTTCTCGGCACTGACAAGGAGAGGCCCCCAGGTGTAGCGCTGACTTTTTAATAAGGTTTAGCACGGTGATAGAGCTTGGAATTCTCAAGCTAATGATATTTGTGTCAGCTGCATATGGCCATTAGTTTATGAAATATTTAATGTTCCAAAAAAAAGTTTATATCCTGCTTTTGATCTGCACCTTTTTAAATTTGTTACAGTAGTATCCTATAGAAGCCATCTAATTAAAAATTGATTAAAATAATCGAAATAAAATTGAATAGTTTACCACACGAAAGTATAGAAGGTAAGGAAGATTGTTTTTGGCTATCTTCTTGTAAGAAATTTGTATTACAAAGGTCGATAATGATAATGAGGAGGCTATGGAAAATCAGTCACAAAATTCCACCTGTCTAGGTGGATGACCAAAAGCGAGGAAAAGATTGGCATGGGTAAAACGTGTTCCTATAATTGGCCAGCAATCGGATTTTCACTCGTCTCTGGTCGCCATCGTAGATTACAACTAATGAAATCGTCGACCGTAGTGCATGTTGGAACGATGTGACGTCAATCGCATGCTGGCAAAAGGCACTTGCTATCAAGGACGCCATCGCCTGCCCCCGATTACTCCTAGATCCGTCATTTTTTCTTTTTCTTTTTTCTTTTTACATACTTATACAATATTAGTTGAGAAATGTCTGAAATTCAACAATATATTTGTTAGGTGTACAGACAAGTAATTCGCCATACTTTTAATAAAATGTCAGTTTATTTTAACTTCAGTGTGTCTTACCTCTATTTTGCTTAATAAAAATGGCGTAGATCTTAAAGAATAACGAAGAATATTATTAATATAGTATAAGTTGTTGGCAAAAAAATTGTCGGTCAGTCGTTGAAACACAAAACAATATTAAAACTATCGAAGCAGGTAAATGACTAATTTAGAAGTTCTAAATTTTCTGAGATTTTATGTATAAGTTGCATTACAATCTCGCTTAGGTAGAAGTCAGTATACATGCATTAATCATCGGTAGTTTTACTGTCAGTTATCTATTTTAGAACAAGAAAAATCTAAGGAAGTTAATTTCTGACTTTCATTCTATTATGTAATTTTGTACATAAGTTTTTATTCCTTATAAATTAAACATCTACAATTAAAATTCTAAGAATAAAGTTATGAAAATAACGAGCAGTGGTTAACTTTTATTTATTATGTAGTTACGCTATTTTAACAGTTACATCGTGTTTCTTCTTTCTTCTCTGTAATTTTTATGTTTTATCATTTTGTTTGTTAACTGTTAATTGGACAGTGGTAGTAATTGTTACTGCATAACGAATGTCGTTTTTTAAAGCCATTCATTTCGTCCGTCTTGAAATCGTTAAACATGGAACCAAGAAGCTTTGTGACTTGCAGGCAAGAGTATGTGTCGCTTCAAGTCGATAGTATTCCGATTAAAAATCTCCTTTCGAGATAAATATTACGATTGTTGAAACTCTACAGTTCAAATAACACATTTACTATGCAACAGCTTAAAAAGATATGATTGTGGATTTAATGATTAAGTGTGTCGGAAATTTTCGTCGGTTTTAGTAAGATGTAATCTTTCTGACATTGATCTGGATCATAGGAATGATTATTTCGGATGACGATATTTTATTTTCCCGACAGATTGTCAATGCCTTCGGATACACTTTTCTACGAAGATGTAATTACAGATTTATTGTTGCCGATCGCAAATGAAATTGTTAAGTATGTTAAGTCTTTGTTATAGATATCTCGAGGTGATACGATCGATAAGTGTCTTGTTATGAACATCAGCGATCCGTCTGATCATTGATAACATCGGATTCTATTTGTGAATTGAATACTTTCCTCAAAGATATTCAATCGAAAAAATACAGAGAAAACAATGCTAATTTGTTACATCACCTTAAACACTTTTTCCTGAAATTATATAAACAAGGTTCTAAAGACATTGTCAATTACAACATGCTTGATATGTATAAGAGTTGATGCTGCGTTTGCAAATGGTATCTGCTAAGTTCAATTACGATAAAATCTTTTCGACAATGTTATTGTGTCGATCGTTTTTTTTTAATCAGAAAGAGTGCGTACGTACTAAAAAGATTGGTTAAAATTTTGAATATGAATTCTATGAGTGGTACTATATAACGTTAACTAATATACTATGATTTAGCTTGAAGCTTTAAAAATACGTAGGTTTTTTGAACTTACATTTATATAATTTTTTCCTTATTTATTATCAACTTCTTATCGATTTGAATTACAAACTTTTCCGGACGTAGAGTGTCATGCATTTAAAAAATATGTATACTAAGTTGAATATTATAAAATTTACCTCAAGTTAATTTAATCAACGAGATGAAAAGGATCGATAAAAAGAAATATTTAATGCAGGAAGAGAACTAAGGAAAATGAACTTTTCCTCTAGGATTCGTATCCTGAATCAGGTGTCTGGATTGCTGTAGATATGTATACAGGGTGTCCCATCTTTTTAGGACACCGTGTATATGTGAACATTAAATCACGAACGTATAGTACTGATCTGGCCAGATGTTCTAGTATTAAACGTATTATTATTTGCTAAATAAAATAAATGTTTCTTTGATTTTCCTGTTTGTAACACAGTCCACGAAAATGGGAAGTTTGTTCGAGGTCTATTCATAACCGAAATTTTCACCAATCTTAACACACTTTGTACATTTTTATTGGCGAAACACTTTTACGAAATTTAATTCGAATTCTTCTCTGATTTCAGGAAAATCCATATGGCAACTTGTCCTGGAACAATTCGACGACCTTCTAGTTAAGATTCTTCTATTAGCCGCTATTATTTCTTTTGTACGTATATTCAATCAATATATTCCTATACTATTACAAACTACAATTTAAACATGACAAATTACGCAGGTTTCGTTGATTATCGCGAGCTCTGTTCGACGTCAGTAGCTGTGACATTCGTGACTGACACTCGAGTCTGATTATTATTTCCACACAAACCAGTAGGATAGATTCGATCGATTCTTAAAGATTTGACGGTTCTTTATCTCGTGAAACGCGCGGAACGGTGACGAAAGTTTCACGATTGCGATAACAATTACTGTCTGCTCGTCGTTCACTTACGTAATTGGGGGGGGGGGGGCACAGTTGGCTGGAACGCCGAAAAATGGCCAAAAGTCAATTTTTCAAGTGTAATATTTTGAAAAACTATTTCTTTCTATGAATTGACACCCTCTAAAGCTTAAAAATCCACACATATTTCTCCTTTCAGATGATTCTGTGGTTAGATATAGCGTTCTGAAGACAAAATCATGAATTTTTAAGTAAAACTAATTGTTTTAATTATTCATTCTATGACATCAAAATACAGTTTTTATTTTATTATACTGTTCTATAGGTGATATCTATAGTGCAATCTACTGCAATCTGTAACTCAGTTCGGATATTAATAAGTAGCTGCTCCACGTTTTTTGGCGGCCTGGACGCGTGTAGCTGCATAGCTGCTTGAAGAGCGATTTGGAAGAAGCGGACTGAGTCAGAAATTTGTTCTATATTAAAACATTTAAATAACATAATATTAGAATCAAACGAATTTTAATAATTTATATTTTTATTTTAATTATATATATATATAAAATTCTTTATTTGTTTATGTTATTTATCGTATTTTAGCTGTATTAGTTACATAAAACATATTTTTAGTGAAAAAAAAAATCCATATGAACGTTTTTTAAATTTTGGCCACAAAAAGTCGTATTTCAGACTATTCTTTTGAATCTGCCATCTTGAAATTTGAATTTTCCGTGTCAGATTCGTTATCAGCGACTTACAAAAACCATCGGTTGCCAAGTTTCGTAAATATCCGATGAAATTTCGACTTTTGACCACTTTTTCGGGGTTCCAGCTCACTGTGGGGACAGTATTGAACACCGATCGGGATAGCCGTTGGAACGTTCGCATTTGTTGCAAATACACGAATGTTTGAACATGTCCCGTCGATGACCGTCGTTATTTTTAGATGTGACGCGATAGACGTTAAATAATAAAATCGAAGCGCTCGCATTATTCCTTCGAGAGCAGCTAAGTAATTATTAGTTGGTCAAAGTCATACTATGTTTACGAGGGTTCAAGGCTCATTCATTATAAATACATCTGGTTTCAAAGGTGAAAAAAATAGCGCATCGATTTCTCCTTGCTAATGAAATTATCTTTACGCACGTGTAAAAAAATTCGTCGCAGGAGACCATCGTTGTAATATACCAATTCACAAAAGAGACTATTCTGTATAAAGTCCTATAATATTTGATCGGAATATAATATCAGATTCCATTTGGTGAACAGTATTCTGGCGATTAATGGACCGGCAACAAATATTATTTAGACACTTATTGAAGGCAGAAATAGTATTTCGCTATTATATTGGGTGTTTCTAAGTCTGCCAATCAAACTTTATCAGTGCATTTTATGGGTCGGGGTACGTCAAATGTGTACAGTATTGGGCCAATGTATTGGGTCAGTGCAAAAGTTCTGATGGATTTTCTGGTCTTGTGGAAACACGGTGAATCGTTGTTTCGAATAAATATTGACTTGTTTGAGTGAGTTGTATAGTTTAAAATCAAATTGAAATTAATATATTATAAAAGAATCATTATATGTTTCATTAAATTATAAATACAATTATTATTAGTTTACTCTTTTAGAGCTAAAAAGAAACACTCAGAACTTTTGCACTAACCCAAAACTAGGACAAGAATTCTCACGCTTCGTCGCGTGGTTTATTACAACCTTATAAAAATTCTTTCTCGTAAGAAGTTGCTATTAGTCCACTAAATTAGGTAAAAGGAAATGAACAGAAAATGATTGTGTACATTTTAGGGACACAAATAACAGAATTGTCCGCGTTATACGACGTTCGTTTTTTAAAACAATTCATACTTTGAGATTACAGGTTTAGAAAAAATTTCTTCCACAATATATATCTTGTTTCTAATACTTACGTAATTATAAGATTTCTTCATTTTTCTGTTATCACAGTAAAACTACAAGCTTGATACGATGTGACCTTTTTATGTAATTGAAACAACACAAAACACTATGAAATACGGTCTTTATACAGTTCACTTTTATTGTAAATACCGTAAATTTATTCTTTCAACTTGAATGCGGGTAATGCACCGACAAATCAATGAATCATATATAGGATATTATTCATATACAATACATTATTCATATGGACTTTAAGGTATAGTGACCACTTAAGTATTAGGAATAGAATTTATGCTCATATGACAAGTTTTTGTTTATAATTAGTTTTCAAACAATCTGTAAATCCGTTTCTTCATACTCGTTCTGAATCACTTTTACACCTTACTTCAGCATTCATACAGGCACTTGTATCCCCCGAAAGTTTTAGGAAAATTCCTTTGTTCAACGTTTATACAAAATTCTTTTGTTCAAATTTTCTAAAATACTTACTTTCGTTTCGACCATTATTGGATTCACTGTTCACCATGGAATGTCATCCTAGTTGCGACATCGATCTTTCGCTTTTAAAGTCGAAAGTTGTTGCAATGCTGGCAAAGATAATTTCATTATTGAAAAAACAATGGAACAGTACTTAATGTATATTTCTTTGTTCCTAATATTCGAGTCTTCCGTAGATATCGACCGTTTGAATCTTAATTCTGCGAATGATTGATTGATGAATCTTGATTTGCGAAGGTTTCGCGGAGGGCATTTCTTAATTACGAGTTGCAATTGGTTGGTCCCTGAAGGAAGAGAGATTCTCTTGGTTTTTCCCAGTTCACGTGGTGGAGAAAAAACTTTTCCTTCGAGACGAAATAGACACGAGAAAATATTAAGGAATTACATACCTTTGAGTTGTTAAATAAGAGAGAACATTATAAAACTTTTTGTATATGCAGAATTATTGTTTATTAAAAATTCAACATGTACATCTTGTTATATGTCCTTAGTAATTTCTGAAAAATTGAGCTATATATGTATTAACAGAAGAAAATGTCTGCCATTTAATTATACTCAGTTTTATTAAAACATCATCTGCAGTACCAGATTTATCTCTGTGGATTTTTGTCTGAAACAATTTTTTAAAATTTTATATTAAAGTAGCTAAAAGGAATTAGGACTTACGGAAACCGATTTTTAAAATATCAATATTTTACAAAATGGTAGCTGTTTGAGCTTACACTTGTAGTTTCCGACATGAATTTTCAACCTCTTTTGTTACTTAAAAAAAAAGAATGCACAACTAAAAAATTTGCTTCGCCAAGTATTAGATTTTAGTTTTAAGAATATTTCTGGTACCGATTTTGAAAACTGCATTTCGAGTAAAACGCTTTTCAATGGCAGCCAGTTTCTTCTGTTGCTAGATACGTAGCTCAATTTTTTATAAATTACTGAGGAAATAACATATAATGAGATGTATATGTAGAATTTTTAATAAACAATAATTCTGCATATGCAAACAAAATTTTCAATCTTCCCTCTTACTTAACAGCTCAAAGGTATGTAACCCCTTAAGAACGTCAAAATTTGATTTGAGCACACCCAGTTTGCGAGGGTTTCCCAACATTAAGGGTTTATGGTCGTATTATTCCGCAAATGATCAACAAGAACCAATGTGTTGTATAGGTCCTAGAACCGACATGGTAAGGTCGTAAATTAAATCCTCAAGTGGAGTCACCCAATAGATGTGGCTGCGAGTCGCTCTCCTCTTTGAGAAGTAATACCTCGAATGTCAAGCTGCAGAAGTCATTAGTAAATTAATGTTTGAAATTACTACTAACAGACTTTCATTAAAACGCTATTATATTAAGTCCCTATCTTTTCTGAATTTGGACCATCGCCTAAGTTGGAGCACTATTGTAACTTGTCATGTGCAAGCTATTTAAGCCTTATGATAGACAATATGTGTATGATAGTGGTGATTGCGTTCACTAATTTAGTACCTATAAGCAACACATATTCTCTATCATAAGGCCCAAATTGCTTACACATGGCAAATTGCAGTAGTGGTCCAACCTAGGCGATGGTCCAAATTCGGCAACCTTCCCCTACATTATTTTCATTATATTCAACATTCAATTTTTATGTCGTCGCCACACATCGTCTTCGACACGACGAAATCGCCCTTCGACACATCGTTGACGTCTGGCAGCAAAAGTGTCAATGCACGAGAATCACTGTATATTCTAACGACTTAATCTTTATTGCACGCCCTGTTACAGGTATTAGCTTTATTTGAAGAGCACGAAGATGCGTTCACGGCCTTCGTCGAGCCCTTCGTCATTTTGCTCATTCTTATCGCAAACGCCGTAGTCGGCGTGTGGCAGGAACGTAACGCTGAATCTGCGATCGAAGCGTTGAAGGAGTATGAGCCCGAGATGGGCAAAGTTCTACGAATGGACAAGGCCGGTGTCCAAAGAATTCGAGCCAAGGAGATCGTGCCCGGAGACGTGGTCGAAGTGTCTGTCGGTGACAAAATCCCGGCCGATATTCGTCTCACCAAGATCTACTCCACCACCCTCAGGATCGATCAGTCTATCCTGACTGGTGAATCGGTCTCGGTTATCAAGCATACCGACCCGATTCCCGATCCACGTGCTGTCAATCAGGTGGGTATAATTTTGGGAAACACAGTCAACCTATATCTGTATGCGGCGGTGATTATTAAAGTTACAGAAGTCAATTAAATATTTCACCGAAATGCTTCCATATTATTGTAATTTAAATCGACGTGACACCAAACAAGTGATAAATTCAATTTTTTGTTTTCAATTCCTGACTTACACCACTTTCATATTCACCGGCACATATATAGGTTGTTCTTGTAAAAGAAATGGTAAACGAATTGGAATCCCATATTTCGCTTATAAAAATATTTGTGGTTTTGAATGAATATTATTTAGGAAGTTCTAAGCTCAGTATGCAGTGTCTATGTTCGTATGTTATTAAAAAGAAATATAATTTAGATACAGAAGGAATTTTACTTCTTGTAGATGGCTGTATATGCTTTAAATAAGATTATAAATAATATACTTGAGACAGAAATTGAAACCTTTGCTCCGTAGTGCATCCAGATGCAGCTCACTTTGAAATCTCTGATGAGTGTTTAGGGAAGTAGGTCACCTAATTACTTCACGCTAGGGTAGATCCTAACTGCAATTATTCCATCACTTAAAGTAAAATGGAGCAACACCAAGTAACCTGACACCAACCTGTGTCCCAGTGACTTTAAAAGCGATTAAAAGCGATAGGGCCTGCGTACAGAATGTGTCGTCAACTTAGGAAAATTAAAAAATTTCTATTATTCATTGTGCCTGTAAAGAGATAAGAATTGTTGTTGAGAGTGATGTTCTCAACAAAACTCCTGACAATGTTTTTTGACCTGTCTGTCTTTAAACATCTTGCCAATATGCTACAGAAGCTTTCAAAAATTTAAGAACACGAAATATCAAAATGTTAGTCTACAGTCTACAGATGTATTAGAAATAGGAGGGGTATAGGGCTACTTTGAACGAGTAAAATTCAAATAAATATGTTGGTGTTGATTAGTTGATTTAGTCTAAGTAAGTGCCGTCAGCATGTATAAATGTTGCAGATGTAGCGACCCCCCAGTAGAGCCGATCTTCATGTTACGATAATTAATGTGAATTTATTCGTTCCCTCAGGACAAGAAGAATATTCTGTTCTCTGGTACCAATGTCGCCGCCGGCAAAGCCCGCGGTGTTGTTATTGGAACTGGCTTGAACACCGCCATTGGTAAGATCCGTACCGAGATGTCCGAGACCGAGGAGATCAAGACCCCGCTACAACAGAAACTGGATGAGTTCGGCGAGCAATTGTCGAAAGTCATTTCCGTTATTTGCGTTGCTGTCTGGGCCATCAACATTGGACACTTCAACGACCCAGCTCACGGTGGATCATGGATCAAGGGAGCTATCTACTACTTCAAGATTGCTGTTGCTCTTGCCGTGGCCGCTATCCCCGAAGGTCTGCCAGCTGTAATCACGACCTGTTTGGCTTTGGGAACCCGTCGTATGGCCAAGAAGAACGCCATTGTCCGATCGTTGCCGTCCGTTGAAACTCTTGGTTGCACGTCCGTCATCTGTTCAGACAAGACTGGTACATTGACCACTAACCAGATGTCCGTTAGCCGGTACGTCATTATATGACACCACAGACGAGAATTAAGAATAGACCTAACATGCAATGAAATTTTTTGTCCCATGCTTCGGGGGCGTCAAAAACCCCTGTACCATTTCAGTATTCCATTCCTTGCTAGCGAAACCGGGGCAATAATGTATGTATGTATCACTATATGTAGTCACGGGTGTATGTGTGTGCGCCGTACGTCATCACGGTGTCGAACGTAGTTCTTGAAGTCGGAAACTTATGTGGAGTGCACTAGAACCAGCGTGATTTTCGTGGGACACCAAGTCCCATAAGATGTTAGGTTTATTCTTATGTCTCGTTTGTGATGAAACTTTGGTTGTTAATATTTCGAATTGCCCGAGTGTCTGTAATATACATATCCATGATCCTCTTACAGCATGTTCATCTTCGACAAAATCGAGGGTAACGACAGTTCCTTCCATGAATTTGAGATCACCGGATCGACCTACGAGCCTATCGGCGAGGTTTTCCTGAGGGGCAAGAAGATCAAGGGAGAGGACTACGAAACTCTCCACGAAATTAGTACGATTTGCGTCATGTGCAACGATTCTGCCATTGATTTCAACGAGTTCAAGCAAGCTTTCGAAAAGGTCGGCGAGGCGACCGAGACTGCCCTTATTGTTCTCGCTGAGAAGGTCAATCCGTTCGGCGTATCGAAAAGTGGACTGGACAGACGTAACACGGCCATCGTTGTTCGACAAGATATGGAGACCAAATGGAAGAAAGAATTCACATTGGAATTCTCCCGCGATCGTAAATCCATGTCGTCCTATTGTGTCCCTCTTAAACCAACCAAACTGGGTACCGGACCGAAACTGTTCGTTAAGGGCGCACCCGAAGGTGTCTTGGATAGGTGCACGCATGCCCGTGTTGGCTCTACCAAGGTTCCCCTCACTTCTACTCTGAAGAACCGTATCTTGGACTTGACTCGTCAATACGGCACTGGCCGAGACACACTGCGATGCCTTGCTCTTGCCACTGCCGATCATCCAATGAAACCCGACGACATGGATCTCGGTGACTCCACAAAATTCTACACATACGAGAAAGATCTTACTTTCATTGGCGTTGTTGGTATGCTTGACCCGCCTCGCAAAGAAGTATTCGATTCCATTGCAAGGTGTCGTGCTGCTGGTATTCGTGTCATTGTCATCACTGGGGACAACAAGGCTACTGCTGAGTCTATCTGTCGACGAATTGGTGTCTTCGGTAAAGATGAGGATACAACTGGAAAATCATACTCCGGACGTGAATTCGACGATCTTCCTACGTCGGAACAGAAGGCAGCTTGTGCTAGGGCTCGTTTGTTCTCTCGTGTAGAACCGGCTCATAAATCTAAAATCGTTGAGTACTTACAGAGCATGAACGAAATCTCAGCTATGGTAAGTTAGTTTGTTGATCGAGAGTATGCAAAGATCTGGCGTTACACGAATTTATTTTCTGTTGTGTTATAGACGGGTGATGGTGTAAATGATGCCCCAGCTTTGAAGAAGGCTGAAATTGGTATTGCTATGGGATCGGGAACCGCAGTGGCGAAATCCGCATCTGAGATGGTGTTGGCGGACGACAACTTCTCTTCCATTGTTGCAGCCGTTGAGGAAGGCCGTGCTATCTACAACAACATGAAGCAATTCATCCGTTACCTTATCTCTTCCAACATTGGTGAAGTCGTGAGGTTTGTATATTCAGAAATTTTCTTTTTGTAATAATTAATATCTAATGGATCATCAAAATTCTACAGTATAATTTACGGAATTCTTTTATTTGTTATAGTATATTCTTGACTGCCGCCCTTGGTCTTCCCGAAGCCTTGATCCCTGTGCAGCTTCTGTGGGTCAACTTGGTCACTGACGGTCTTCCAGCTACCGCTCTTGGTTTCAATCCACCTGACTTGGACATCATGAGCAAGGTAATGTTGTCAGTGTGTGAGGTGTAGAATTACGAACACTGAAAAGAAAATCATAATTTTGTTTATAATGTTACAGCCTCCCCGTAAAGCCGATGAATCCCTTATTTCTGGCTGGTTGTTCTTCCGCTATCTGGCTATTGGCGGATACGTAGGTGCTGCAACTGTTGGATCAGCTGCATGGTGGTTCTTGTACAGTCCAAATGGCCCACAAATGAACTACTATCAATTGGTACGTATTATTTGAAATTTATATCGTTTTCTTAAATAATAATATTTATGGCGTCTTTATTATATCATATTTATGTACAGTATGAGTCACAAGAGTAATGAAACATTAAGATCGGAAAATGTCTCTATGCAAATAAGACGCATTTACTACGTAATGTTGCTAGGTAATAGAAACTTAACCTAGAATGTTCAACTAATAGACTCATCACCTGGCGTGTTTGGGTGGTGGCGAAGAATTCAAGGGCGTCAACTGCAAGATCTTCACGGATCCTCATCCCATGACGATGGCCCTGTCTGTACTCGTAACCATCGAAATGTTGAATGCTATGAACAGGTAACACGTTATAAACGTACCTCTCAGGAAATACGTGAACTGGAGGAAATACGAGAACAATAATTTATACTGTTTATTTTTGTTTCATTTCAGTTTATCTGAGAATCAATCTCTCATCACTATGCCGCCCTGGTCTAACATGTGGCTCATTGCCTCTATGGCTCTTTCTTTCACACTCCACTTTGTCATCCTTTACATCGATGTCCTTTCGGTATATTAAACATTATTTACCCTCTAGTCGTTAAATAGTCATAGTATAATAACATTTCTTAACTTTTGCCTGTTTCAGACTGTATTCCAAGTTACTCCCTTAACGGGCGAGGAATGGATTACCGTTATGAAGTTCTCCATTCCAGTGGTACTTCTCGACGAAACCCTGAAATTCATTGCCAGAAAGATTACAGATGGTGAGAGTCCACTTTACACAGTGCATTGGATCGTTCTAATGTGGGCTGTGTTCTTTATACTAATTGTCTTTTGAAACAAACTAGCATTTGTCATTGAAACAATATTAGTCCAACAGACGATGTTTTTCCTATGGAAAACATTTACAATTGAGTTCTCGGACTTGCAGTTGCATTTAAACTAAAGTTCTTCCCCGTTGCCCGGGAAGGTCGAGATAAGTTATTAATGAAGTGCGTTTAAGTGAGATTTTAACCAGTTTGACTGTTGTGCATGGTGTTTGTACAACCATACAAATTTGCCACCAAGGCCAACCATGCCCACACCACACCGTACCCTGACGTCGCTCTACAATCATACGGATTTCAGTGGCTCCGAGTGATAAAGAGACCCATCGTAATCAAAACGAATTGTGATTGTTGAATTATTTTCTACGAGTGCCTTTTAAACATTAACTTTCCTCTGCAAGAAAACACCCGTTGATGTTTTTTCTAACCTTATACGTTACACACGAAACCTTTTTAGCATGACACTTGCATGTCCTTTTAGCACGATGTATTTTGACTGCCATATTTTTTGGATAGCTATTGATAAATCCTTCAATTCTCTAAATAGTTGTACTTGTCGGTATGTGAATGCAGAATCTGACGATGTCTTAGCGGCATTGAGAAGAGAAAGCTAGTATATCTTTTGTCTAGTAGAATCACATTCGTTAAACTTTTACATTTTATCGTAGAATACCAAAATTCTAAAAGATAGTTAATACATCGACAGAACAGGGTCCTTTAACATGGTAATTTACATTTTTCCATAAGTTCTAATCTTGGGCACTTGACTTTAACACACACAGCAGCTCTGTTTCGACCCGTGGTTGATCCGCTGATCTTCCGGGTTTAAATGAATTGGTATGCTCTGTTAAGATTCAAAATTCTAGCACATTGTTCAAGACCGGTAACCGATTTTTCATTCGTATCAGCAAATGGATATGCATTTAACTTTATTTTTCGTTCGTCCATGTTACAAATGCTGTGGATGGTTGAGAAGAAGGTTCTGGTTTTTTGCGCCATCTTAACAAGTAAGGTAACCGATCGACTCGGAACGGTTTGGATTTTGTACTTTATGTCTTATAATGTTTTACGATGTCTTCCTCGAATATGGAAAGACGGTCACGGTTGGCGATGAATTTAGTAAATCAGTGGCTTCGATATGTCCATCATTGGAAAGGCTAAACATTTCTCTACAGCATATCGTACCCTATAGTAAGGGTAAGTGGGAGGTATGCAGTGTGCCAAAAATTTACGCCCAGCACTTGCATATCTAGTAAGGCCATTGATTGTGCTCCGTTCGTCAGGGTTTATGATACGTTAATTGCTATAGTGGACACCCGGTTGGACCGCTATAAGACACGCGCGAGCGGCAGACTTTGATAATTCCTTATTTCCAACGGAAGCGGTCTTCCAGGTGTCTATCATAAACCCGCCCGTGAGAAAACCTTAACAAGCTTACTAATTATACATTGGTTTACTTATCATAGATCTTTCTGCTAATCTAATTTATTAATTTATTCTTTATTTGCGCTAACTGCTTTCGTTGTCGCTTATTAAAAACGTTCATCTATTAATTAATTCTCAGCCTCAAGAGTAGCCGTTTCAATCAAGAGGTCAAAACTGGAACTGCCTGATCCGTTGATGAAATTTCAAGACAAGCATGCATGAAGTTTGAACTAATGGATCTCATTTTGAACCTGTCTCTGTTATGTCTTCCTTCCCGTAGAAGTAATGCATGCACAACCGTATTGTTAATACATCCTCTAAAATTCACCTCGTAGAACAAATCACTATTAGTAGTTAGCAAATCCTTCTGTGTGCCGTAAATTATGTTCGATATCCTCGATGATATACACTTCAATAGTGAAATAAGTACACTTCGATACTTATGCGACTTGATTAGAGGTACGGTTCAATTACAGGAAAAACGCAAGGTAAAAGAAAGAATTTTTTACCCTGTCTTGTTAACGGGCACAGTAGAATTATTCTAACATCTTGCACTTTCATCGCATCCACTTGGTCTTTATGTGTCCCTTATGTGTGTGATTTACATGTGAAACCGATCGATACCACACAATATATTTGTATACCACTAATTTATGGGTACGGATTGCAAAGGCTCGTGTGTGTAAGTTAAGAAAAAAGGACATTGAAAATTGGTTGTTTCTAGCAGTCCGTATCTCGTCGTATTGATCCCCTTCCTTCCCCCGGACGGCGATCTGAACAAGAGAACGCTCGATTTAGAAATACATCTTCGTTCCTATCAGCGTTAGCGCAACTGGTTTATAGATTTCGAACGATTCGTATGGTAATATCGATCCCGTAAGGGTACATCAGTTGTTGCTACGGTATTGATAGACGAAGTAATTCGTGGTCACACGCGATGTACACTTCGGTGGAATCGTCAACGAATTTGTTTCTTTTTTTTTTTCCTACTTGTTCCTCTTAGTACGTTACACGAGAAACAGAGGTCCTCATCAAGCGAGTATCGAGTTCAGACGTCGTCCGGAGGCTACACGCGCCACATGCGAAAACGGAAGATCTGGTGTCGTCACGAGTACGTGGGCCTTTTTTTAAACGTATCCGACTGTCTCATATAGTCATTTCATTCGAGAATTTTCTAAGTTCGCGTATGGCAGTCGAGTCGCTGTAACGAACGCGTATGTAGCAAGCGAACCACCACTCGAACCCGTGCAAACGCAACAAGACTGACGATGCGGTTCGAGGAGTGGATTGCCCGGGTCTCCGCCGTTCCGTTGCGAATGAATGCATAATAATTTAATTTTGCGTCAGACGACCACCACGGGCAGTGTCTCGTCCGCTCATCCGCGCTACACGAGAATAGCGTAATAATATTAATATTATCGGCTAGGGCGTGATACTTTTTTCCTTTTTTGGTTTTTTTTTTTGGTATGGGCATAACTAAACTTAATTAGACAATGGCAAAGTGTGTGAAAAGATGTACCGTGCATACGGGTGCATGGGCGCCCCTCCCCCTCCCCCCTGGCGGCGGGCCCGGTTGCCGCAATTCCGCCGGATCACCCGCGCGCCTACCCTGATGCCGCTTGAACGTACCGGAAGCAGCAGCACTAACGTTGTGTGTTCTTTTTGTTCGAAGTACATTACAATTTTACTTTGCGCGTGTGTGTGCGTGTGTGTGCGTGTGTGTGTGCGTGCGTGTGTGTGCGTGTGTGTGTGTAGCGATACCATGAATAATAATCACGTGTACCGGCAGCTTTTCTTCGACGATACCATCTGTGCGAACAAGACGAACATAACGCGTTTTTAACTGTTCTTTCGGATTACATTTCCATAATTTCTGTGTTCCTTTGGTTTTTTTTTTCACTGTCTATTGTTCTTTTTCGCTGTCGAGCAATTTCGATACGTCTTTGCTTCGTGTCGCGTATCGTCGAGCACAGAGATCGCGGAGATCACGATGCCGATAGACGAAAAAAAAAAAAAAAATACACGGTCTGATACAATTCATGACGCTCAATAAACGTTGACGAAATTATCAATCATTCTTTTGCGTTCATTCGAGGTGTACATATTTGTAAGTAACTTGGATCGTTTGTGTGGATTGCGCTTTAACCTCGAACCGGAAAAACGGAGGAGTAGTGCCATCTACGAAACAGAGTACCAACCATTGCGCAGCGTTACGCAAAACGGGACCCGAGCAAACAAATCACCCTCGGATCCACGTGTGTCGGAGAGACGTTCTTCGCGCGATAGCTCGTTTGCGCGTATATCTCCTGGGTCGCTGCTCGGAAGAGAAATTATTTTGGAATTACTCGAAAAGTATATTTTCACTCATGATGAAAGATATACAGTCGAAAACGAAGCTGCGCGACCGAACGTTTTACCAGACGCGTCACCGATTGGCTGCACACGTTTCTTTTTTTTTTTTCCTCCGTACACGTGAATCGTCCTTTTGCCTAACGCTCGATTATCTAATCTAGCACGGTAAAGTTACGATGATGAAATCATGGTCGCATCGTTTGTGCAGGAAGTACCTATTTCTAATGATAATAAGATAATAATAATATTAATAATTAATATTAATAACTTATATAGAGTGCGATTACATTGAATGAATTTGAGATGCATATTCGCCAGCACGCACTTGCGGCGAATTTACGGTGTGATCCTAATTAATTAGTCCCGACTTTACGGCCCGACGAGCCGGGCGATTCGATGTAGAGAGAGATACAAAGAGAAACGTATATGCATATATAGATGTGTATATAGAGAGACACGTGTCCCAGGACGACCCGTCATTAATAGCAAATGTTTGTTTATTTAACGCGTTTTATTTATCTCTTTACCGTGCATTCGAATCCAGACCGGATATTATAACAAGTGAGAGTATCGCGGTGATTATCGACGTTTAGCGACGGTCCTAGTGCATTACTTGTTATAATAATAAATGAAAATAACAAAGAGAAAGGAGATCATTAATGTTACTAATGCGTGTTCGAAGTAAAACTGATCGGCCTACTAATTAAACGCGAATTTTCTTCGCAGAAAAATGATGTGGCATTTGCCGCGTGTACGAAGCATCGAACACTTAATACAATAACAACGTAATAAGTGTTTGGTCCAGTTTTTCTCTCCAGCTACCTGTGTAACATTCATTTTTGTGTCTAGCACTTTATCTGTCTCCCTTTTCCCCACTTTTACACCACCCCCCTCATCTGACACTATATTTTTACCCCTGATCGATGACTATCTCCGAGTATGTATGTATCTGTGGTCACCTCATCAATCATCAATCGTACAAATAGTACGAGAAACGTGAAATCGGATTATTCGATGACAGAGAATACCCTTCTCCTTGACTAATCAGTTTGATTAAATCCTGAAAATGGGGAATCGTTTTCGGTTAGATGATATAAGAAACACCGAGAATTGGATTCACGAATACGTCCACCAGCATATACATGCTGAACCATCATCATTGCAGCCCATATTTTGTGCCCCCCTCCCCCCTGGAGTTGTTTGAATTTTTTGCATGCATCCTCTGGACAAAACAAAAAAATCAAATCGATTTGGTAACTGTCGTGTCGGCCTGGAATGATCAACACTCCTAGTCGAGGAAGTTGCCCCCGACACAGCACTTTTTTTGCTAACTCCTGCCTGCTGGTGTGTGAAAACTATTCAGTCAAGAAGCAGAGACTGCCGCAAATTGTGATCGGAGAAATCCGCCGACCGCGTGGACGACTCAGGTAAAATTTTTCAATCTGCGATTATTATGATGTAAGCTAAGAATTTGATTACCCAAACGACACCACATATATGTGTATATACCGTAACTCTCCCCTCCCCCCCCCCAAACGGACGTAATTGGTCACAGTGGACAGCGTGACGTCGAGTTTGTAGTGAATCTGACGAAAACGAACTTATGATTCGTCATCCCCTGGTTGATTTTCTTTCGTAGTGACCATTGAGTTTCTTTCCATTGATTTCAATTAATTTCAAATTGAGTTTCAGGGTGATTTTCTATGAATGGGATTTTTATTGACGTGTTGCATACGGGTCTTACGTGAATATAGTACATTAAAAAGAAACGATATTTTAAAGAAGATGCTACTATTTGAAAAGAATATTGAGCATCGTTTTCCTTAATTTCTTTAGTGGTCATTCAGGCAAACATTTTACTTGTACATGAAATATTTATAAATTCTCCTTTGTATATAAATTGTGTAGTATTTATATATTATACTTATATTCGAATGATCTTTTCCCAATTCGTCGTAATTCTTTCTAGTTGTTCGTGAAAGCTGGTGAAAATTTGCTGAAACCATTGATTTTTTCATAATTTCCGATCAAAATCTATCAGACTCGAACAGCAGGGCATTGTTACTAATGAATAGTCTTTTACACTCAAACTGTTAAATTATAAAAAAAAATTTTTAATTGAATTACTAATCATAGTCGTGTCACAAATATATGTTTGGTATTTCCAAAATCGTGCTAGGAAAACAAAATATTTGCACAAACAATAGTTTAACTTGCTCTGCGATAGAAATAACTCTTTACCGACACTCTATGCAACACGTGAATAGAATCCATCTGACCCAAGTATTCCGATTAGACGGTTCGTAGAATCTGTATCAATGGAATTATCGTCGGTGAAATTGTTAACGAGAGAATACATCGAACGGACACGGACAATCTACACGATCCCAAAATATGTATATCTCAGACATGATTGACGCCGTATTCATCGGTTCGAATGTGGGACACTACCAGAAAGACCAGTTTCTCCCATGTTGTCGAATGTTCAGTCCCAGAGTTCTGTTAACCAGGCCTCGGATTAAGCCGGCTTCCCGAAAAATAATGAAAATTCCATGATATGCTTACAGTGGCACCGCCAGTGACGCCGCCGAATTAAAGATCGGGACGCGTAGGACGAATCGACACCTGTTCGGGCACGAGAAATCGTCAATGGGCACTTAACACCCACCCGCAACAACCCTCAAGCTGCTCGATGGGATCAAACGACAGAAAAAAAAAACAAATAATAAACAAAAAAGTCACAGAACACTTTTATCGACATATTCGATAAACACACGTATACTCATTACATCTATCCGAGGAACACGCATACAAACGAACGGGAATCAAATTGGAAAAGTTTTTGAGACACACACACACACACACACACACAACACACACATACGTCGTATTCTCTTTTCTTTTTTTTCTCTCTTTTTTTTTTTTTTCTTCATCGTAGATCAATTGATGCCTCGGAAGGGTAGTTCAGGGGGATGTTATTATAGTTAGAAGAAGATCAAAGGACAGCATTCATTTGGTGCAAAGATAACGTTTCGGAGTAACGTGACCGATTCGGATTTTGTGTCCGCGTGAACCTAGAGGAGAGCCGCCGTCTCAGGCAGCCAGGAACGCGTCTAATCGGAGCGGCTTGCTGTTTCGCCCGCCAAATAGTCCCGTCGGCAGTCCCATTAATGGCTGTATCTGTGTTATGTTGCAGTAAACGAAACGGTCGTCGACAAGTGGAACTAGGCTTGTCTCACTGTGCCGCCGGCAACGATTCTTCTGCCAAGCACAAAATACTGTAAAAACAACTAAAAAAAAAAAAAAAAAAAAGACAGAGACGAAACAAGCGGGACTCAATATCGAGCGAGGCTGCGCCTGCGCTTGCGCGACAACCAACCAATATACCGCAAAAATAGCAACACTCTCGATATACACTATAAACATTTTAGTCGACGTCGCTGCAAAGGGGCGAACATAGGTCCCCCTTCCTGCTGGCCACGCACTGCACCGCCCCACTGCTGCTTTCGTTTGAAATAATCGACCACCGCAACAAAACAGAACCTCTATTTATTATTGTGTAGTCTATCGTGTTGTCGGTACGAGAGAGAGCGAATTAAAGTCGGGATTGGAAAACCAAAAAAAAAAAGACGAAAAAAAAACACCAATGAAACAGAACTCCCACGGCTTTGAGAATTTTTCCATCTTTAGCGTTCCACGGAGCCTCGCTGCCCTAAACGCGACGATCGTTCTTTTTTTTTTTTTTTTTATTTCATTCGTATCACGTAGTTTCTACCCTCAAGACCATTTAACCCGTGATAGACGGAACTCTCTTCCAACTAGATGATCACGCTCTGTTTTCATCCTCTTTCATTTTTTTTTTTTTTCACTAATCAGAGAGGACTGACGCTACGTCGAAACCAGTCTACAATCCTCTTGTCTCTGCTCGTCAAGCAGGGACCATAATGCTCAATGAAAGAACCATCGTTTCCACTAGGCATCGAGCAATCTGTTCGTTTCTTTAGTCGTGTCTTCTCGAATTTCAATTCTTTCCTCCCCAATACGCTTTTTCAACCTCTCTCTCTCTCTCTCTCTTTCTCTCCGTTTCTTAATCCTCGAGGAGCTAACTTATCTTCTTGTCTAACGACATTAATTGTCTCTATCGATAACCCAATCGAGTCTTCCCGCGAACCGAACCGAGAGGACATCGACTTTCCCTGGAAGTCCAGCAGATCCATTTGACCAGGACCCTCTTGTGAACGAGCATCGAACAAAAATGTCAGAACTCCCGAATGCTGTCGATGTCACTGTCCGTGTTCCCTCGTCATCGAAGACCCAATCGATGCAGTCGGTTGATCGGGGCTAACCAACCTAATCCATCAGCGTTCCTCTTCTCAACCAGCAAGATGGACACGGAATAATACGAAACGAAAGAGCGTAGCGGTGCTTATGAGAGCAGCAGACGGCGGGAACGTGTTCGATATACAGTTCCAGCGTGAATGGAAGATACTTTAACCACGTCGACGACGCGGGGCCAAGAGCAAACTGCCGGGGCTGAAGCGGAAAGCAACGAACGAGGAAACCGTTACTCCCTTTCGCCATTTGGATCGAGTGGTATACACTTTAGGAACGAAATAAAAGAAACTGTATTCCGAACGGTGACGTAACTTTCACGAAGGCTTCTGCGGGAGTAATAAAAGTGTGACGCTTGTCATCGTACGGCGGGGAGGATCGAAATAATGGCGGACGCAGAAGCCTTCCCGCGACCACGGCGCCCGAAACTTACGCCACTCGAGAAATCGATGATGCTCCGCGATTTAAGATTTAACCATTGTACATAATACGTAACACGCGCGATGTTTAAAGAATAAAAAATGATTGTATGTATATATACATATATATTTAGAGACATTAAATGTATATATGTATGTATACGTATACGTAATATTTTTCGCGAAAAAAGCGCACAGAGACGAAGACCCGTGGATCCTTTGAGAGCCCCGGGGGTGAGGGCCTCGAGCGAGAAGGATTTGAATCGACTGAAATCTAGGTTTTCCGATGACTGTTTTGCTTCGCCCTTTTACTTTTTGATCACCGACTAAGCCTTCCTAGCAGCGCATAGGTGGATTTAGCCGCCTGAAGACGTTCTGATTGTTACATAGGGAAGAAATAACTGGAACGACGTTCACGATTCCTTTCAAGCTACCCTCCTTCTGTTGTCGCCGTGACTGACGACGAGATCCATGTATGCCGTTTTAAGACAGATCTGGGCACGTGTCGTTTGAAGTACAAAATAAAAGGAAGTAATATTCCCGGTTAACGTGTCACGTGTGTATACTAAAGCGATTTTAGAAAGGTCATTTATAATATCTTAACGTTGAGACAATTGTTTCTTTTGGGCCTCGTATTGTGTTCGTATAAATACGTTTATACTCTCTCTGTGAAATTGTACCACCACAAAGTAAAGAAATTTGTTATTCTGTAACCACGTTGCAATTTATAGAATTTATTTGGAAGCTTATATGACGCCGAGATATACTAAAATTTATATCTCACTGTCGGTTTGTATTGGTTTGAATACATTACGGGGGTTTAAAGTACATAAACTGCTCTGACAACGATAGCAGATAATGCTCAATGTTGAACGTGAGGTGTACAATTTTGAAGAAAATTGTCGAAAAGTATTAAAAATTGAACGCGAAAGTAGTAGAAAAATCAACGTTCGTGGAAATAATTCAGATCATTTAGTATTGTGAAAGTTGTTTCTGATGAATAGGATCATTTAACATTTCGTTAATCATGCCGAAAAATGCCCAGATCTGGTACCAGCCATGACCTGCACTCGAAAACAGCGTTGACCAGGTCGAGTCTCGTGTCACGTTTTTTTTCTTTTCTTTATTTTTTTTTTTTGGTACCGATCGACTGCCGTTTTTCCTTTACTTTTTCTTTTGGTTGCTTGATAATGACCCTTTAACTCTCTTTACGAATAACAGTACCAAACGGGAAAATATGATCCGAGAAATCTGGCTGAATCTCCGTAATCGAGGAGTTCGTAACGAAATGAATCCTTCTCAAGAAATTCAAGAATCGAGTTCACTACGGTTCCCAACGATCTATGGGAATCTCTACACCGTGGATTTATCGTAAACTTCGAAGCCACAGCTGATGTCGCATCTTATATCGTAAATGTTTCAGTGCTTCTGCAAAAGTAATCCTAATCATACCGGATGGGTCGCACGTGGACCGCGTTGATTTTGATAAGAGCAGCGAAGAAGAGTATCGAATTCATATTGTTGATTAATTATGAATGTAAGATAAAGAATATATATAATCTGTTTTATTTTTCATATACACCCCATTCTGTTTTCTCACAAAAACGACCCCACGCAGAGCGAGTTTAGAGTTTAGCGACACGTTTTAAAGAAGTTCCTGTACTAGAAAGACAGTAGAAATCTCCTTCGTATGTTTTAAATAAATTCCAATAAAAGCAAAGAAAAAAAGAAGAAAAGAAAATGAAACCGATGTAACGAGTACCGAAGTTTTCTTTGTTTTCTTCCTCCTAAAAGAAAAGAATTCTATTGTAATAAGGGATTGTTTCTATTACGAACCCCTCTATTGTTCGTGCTATTTACGCTATTCTTTCTATCTATGTCCTGTTATCGTCGTCAGATCTTCTCATTATCGATAAAAGTAAGATCATTTCTTCTAACTAATAAGTAGAGCCTTTACACGTGCAGTTTACGATCGTTGAAGGAGAATATATTGTGCGTATACCGATCGTTAGTTAAGTGGGGGAAAAAAACGATCGTGCACGAGTTTTTCTTGTCAATTTTGCCTTAAGCAGTAAGTTAAGCACAGGGTTGGTCTTCTAAAAGATCAATCAGTGATCCACGACGATACTCACCGATAGACAACTCGAGGTACAAGGTGTTTTCCTAATTTTGTACAGGCACTTGTGTCGCTCGGTGAAATCGTCGACGCCATTTTACTCGATACATGCTATCAGCCAGTTCTCTTATCGAACAAATCTGAATACTGTCTGTTATTATATCCTGTATTGTTCTATCGTTTTGTAAACTGTCACGCGAACACTCTCCAATCATTCTCGCTCGAGCCGTCCACAGATCAGGGTGAAGTATCGATGAACTGAGTATTACATTATTTTCTTCCAAAACGGCGACAGACCTTGCGTTATTTTTAATGTTGTACGCCAACAGCTCTGTACGAATAAAGGTTTGAAAATAATGGTACGATATCCTCTTGCTGACTTCGTTTTAGTGGGTTGAACGAACAGTTTCTTTCTACAGTATGTTGCTGTAACATTCTGTTACACAATATATTAGTAGCTACTTTTTTATATTTATCATCCCACCCAGTGGCCTATCATTTACTTTCTCAACGACAGCGTTTTCAGCTTTCCCCGCAAAAATCACCCAAAAACAGGAGGTAATGAAATGCATAGAGTCATCACAGGAGAGATGTCGCATTGTCGATCTTTCAAGTATACAAGTAACAAATGAGCCGTTTTTTTTAAAGTGGTATAAGTCCACTTTTGGAAAAAAATGAGTTAATGGTAATTTTTGTAAGATATAAATAAATTACAATACCGTCACACTTATTGTTTAAAACTGTTTATTCATTCATGTCTGTCGAGCGACAGCGACTTTATTTCATTGTTTTCGAAAATTTCGCAGTTTTTCGGGGCAGGTCGATCGTATTTTGCCTCTATAATTAGACTTCGTGTTTGTTTCTACTATCATAGTAATTCAAATTTCATTATAGTTTTTTAAAATCTAACTTTCGTAATGCGTTATTAGGAGTATCTGGAATGTTCCTTTGCCGGAAAAGATTACCTTCGATGTAGCACGCGAAGGTAGTAAAGTGCGACGTTTCTGCTGGATATTTGTGATTCGAAGTGTGCATCTGGGATAGATGCCGTATTTTTAAATCGACATGGGAAAATTTATTATCCAGGTAAAGAGTTTCGAGTAACGAATAAGACATTAAAAAGTACTTTGTCATTTTAATTGTTTAAACGTGGAAATTCCATATGTCATAATGAAATATAATACTTCTTGAATGAGTCGACATTTGGCAAACAATATTTAATATAATTAACCGTTTGAAATAGATACTACTGTATTTCACTATCTATTATTCAAATAAAATTGTGCCGAACTCTGTTTTTAACCCGTGGTTAGGGACACTGGTACGAATTCGCAGCAGCAAAAAATTCAAGGGTTGTGTATGCACAGGTAAGTGAGCGTATGGATCTTCCCCCATTACGTTAAATGTGTCTGTCCTCTGCAGGATCAGGTAGTAAGGATCTGAGGGTCATTTACGTTTTAACCTTCGAAGGAACAACATCGAAAGTGTGGATAGTAAGAATTCTGATCTGTGTGCCTTAACGGTTGCTGGCTTGGTGCTTCTCCAAAATTTAAAGAAAGTGTTTATATGGCAGTTCGACAGTTTCATTTTGCATAAAAGTGAGTAATTTTAACATAAATCATTATTTATCTATATTTTATGCATTATAAATGATTGCTTTCTTGCAAACTGATTTTAAACGAATCTGTGATAACCATAGATCAGGAATATGTATACAATGCATAAATGTATTAGATTAGATTAGAAATAAGTTTTTTATGTCCCGATTTAAATATTACTCTTACTCAAAATATTTTTGACACATAAACCAATGATATTCTTTTTTATCCCACTTTAAATATATTCGAACTGCAGAGTATCTTAATTGAAACAATTTGTTTACTACCCAGGTATAGTACACCATTTTAACTGGATAGTCCAGCAAGAATTGCTTCATTTCATTTGTATTGTAAAAAAATGACGTAAAACATACGAAAAATCGAGTTTTTCAAAATCTTACTTCCTTTAATTCACAGTTATGAAAAACATAAATCTTTCCATGAAATGTCGGTATCATCGATCGATCCCTGAAGAAATTATCTATTAGAAACATAAGTTTTATTTAAACATTACCATTTATTTCTAAAAGTTATGACATAGTTTGAAAATCCTTATTCGCACCGGTGAACCTACAGCCCAGATAGCATATGACGCCTTGAAGACGCCCATTTTACGGCTATTTTAGGTCTAAGGCGCCTTTAAGCCGTCTTCAATGCGTCATGTGCTATCTGGGAGTGGGTACTGGAACGAAGTTAAAGGAAGAATGAAATTGCTATTTTTGTTCTTATCTTTGTTCATAAGTTAACCCGAAATTTCACTAAATTAACTGGTTAAATATATTGAAGTCTAAGATAGAAGAACTACAACGAATGCTAAAAAATCTTTTTATTTCTAACATTCTATAGAATATCACATTTTACGTATATCGTACCTTACATCGATTTACATCAAATATATTCACCAATTCACAATCATTCGCTTCACATACGCATTCTCGAACTCAAATAAAAATTACAGGCTATACAATGGTCAATTCGCGTTGTTTTGTACGGTCGTCCGATAAATAGATGCAGGAGGCGATTCAGAAACGCGTCAACAATCATTTAAAGGATGGAAAGAGGGAGAGGGGGGGGGGTCGTTTGTTAACTTTTTGGTGTCTCCTTCGCCATATCCTTCAATCGTTGCTTGAATGTGTCGCGGATCTCCGCGATCGGTTTCACCAGATATATCGGTACGTCGTCGTCTCTCCTCTGAAATCATTTCAGAATTATTAATAAAGTAATAGTTTACCAAAATATAATAATAAAGTTTTATAATAATAATTCGAATGGTAATTTAAAATTGAAAACATAACAGTTACTAACACTGAAATATAAAATTGAAATATAAATTAAAATTGAAATATAAACAATTACTTGAACACGTCGAGGTTAGTATTGCCTTTGTTATCATTACAGGTATCGTTACAGGGTGACAAATATTAGACTGTGTAGAGTTAAATTGAATTGTAGTGGCTAGCATTTTGATTTGTATATGTAGTAAGGTCCAAATGTTTCCAACCTAACCCTGAATTATTATAAGAAAATTGAAAAAAAAAAAATTTCTTACTGTATTTTAACAAATTGAATCCTATTGTCGGAAAGGATTAATGTAATAATTCGCGAAAATGCTGCTAAAACAAATGATAAACACACTAGTAAATCTGCGATAAATATCAAAAGAAAGAAAAATAGGTATTTCATAGCAATACGACGTTCATTATTGTTTCTAAATTAAACGAATCGGAGAATGCGTTAACTTATTTTTCGAAGTGTATAGTATGTAGATGCAATGCTCGAACAGGTTTATATTTTATTGTATAATAATTTTATGTGTACCTGAAACAGGCATTCCCCTTCGAAGTCAACGAGCTTCTGTTTTCTGGCCCTCAACAGAAGGCCCACGCATTTGTCGCTGATATGAGTGTAAATGTTGAACAGATCACCGAATGTGATCGCGGTGATTTCAGGTTGGTCCCGACACGGAGTGCCCTCTTGGTAGATGATCTCGCAAAGTTCGAGCACTTCTTTGAGAATATGTGCGGTGGCTTTGCGACCACGGATGTCCGTTAAAGAGCCGGCCACTGGTCTGAAATTGACATAATTTCAATATAACTGTAACTTAATTTTCTGTTTTTTTTTTTTTTTAATTAACCCTTTTATCACCATTTTTAAAAATTGCCTTTCCCACTGCTAGCAATTTATATAGAGCTAGTGTCGTTTTAAAAATTTAGTAAACTTTATGTCTAATCTTTTATTATTAAGAGGGTTGTAGAGGGTTTTAAAATGTAGCAAATTTCTCACCCGAAAGTTTTAACTCCCCACTGGTATATACATGCTGTTATTTAACGGGCGGTATAATCGTTTAGGAGATGATTCTACGTGCAAAAGTAAGTCGAGAATATAAAATAAAAGGGTTTTCAAGTGACACTTTGTTTTCGAGATAATCGACTCTGAAAATTAATCTGAAAGTTTTACAAATACTGTCACTATCCATATTAAAATAATTGATTCTCTTAATGTTAGAAACTGAGTTTAAGAATGGTACGGGTTTAATTTACTCTTTATTCGGAAGAAAAAGCTTACCTGCCGTACTCGTCTTTTGAAAATGTACGCTTCTCGAGATTTAATCCAGACGTGAACGGATTCTTCTCTTGCTTGTCCTTATGCTTGTTCGCGTATTGGTTGAACATCGCCACCTTGTCACTCAAGGATTCCTGAAACATAGAAAGTCACGTGGAATTTCATAATATATTCTAATTTAATTCTTAACAAATTAAATCTTAAACAAATTGAAATATTTTAAAATACATACATAGAAGAAAGTTTAAGAGGTATTTATTTAAGCCTAAACTAGTAAGGTGGAAATCTTATTAGTTATTACAAAACTAATTGTTTTGCATTTTAATGCAAAAGGGTTAAAAAACAACTACACCTGAACAATAAACAGTGAACTATTATACACAATTTTGATATTTAGCAGACTGGAAATGTTGACTATATTTTTAACAATGTTTTAATTTGTATTATTCGAGTGTAATTGTAGAATGCAATTTATTTTATGAATTGCAATGAACCTCACTCGATAATCCACAAATATTATACGGAGAAATTATAACACTTTAGCGTCAGTTGGACCATATAGCGTAAAAATTAAAACCACTTATATAAAAAGAACTGAGGAGGAATACTCCTTTGCGGAAGAAATGGCGCGACGTAGAGCTAACACTGGTACTGCTAGTGTTAGAGATGTTACTGGTAATAGTAGGGCTTCTAATCCTCAAATGCGTCACTATACAAGAAAAACTTCCCCGAGACTTTCTCTTTTCTGTATCCCGCGCAACCGTATACCTTATAAATGCATAAAATCCAAAGTATATTTATTCTGGAGCAAGTTTCGTAATTTTTATCGCATTATTGGGTCGAACTAAAAGTTCCTCCGGTTTTGTACTGACAAATGAAAACGATCAATCTTTTGCATTACCATCCGTATTATAGCCTAGAAATTCATACTACAATATCATCGTGTTCTCTGATCTTTTCTCATTAGCTTTAGAAAAAATCGTAAACATTCGGATAATCAGAATTATGTGTGATTGATTTGAAACTGGAAGAACAGAAATGCATTTCCGGCACCTAATGTTTTATTGCTTTCGAAAGGACAAAAATGCTACTTTAAGGGCAGGGTAGATCCTTTCACTGTTGAATGTGATTAAATTGTCGCATTAGCAATCAACGCAGTACTATCGTGGTGGATACATTATTTACTAAATGCAAGAATAAATTTAGTTATTTTATAGTCAAGTTTAACCCTTTGTCGCCCAGGGTTTCAATGTTAATGATAATTGCATAAATGATATTATATTTTATTAGAATCTTTATTTTGTTACGTTTTGCAAGGGGACGCTATAAATGCATAAACATCCACAGTTTACTTATAAGATTACGAAGAATTGCCCTATTTTGGAAAGAATTTTATAATTTTTTCTCTTGAGTGCAATTTTTTTTTTCGTGTAATTTTGGCACAGACACTTGACTGGGCGCAGCATCCGCGACGTCAGTGTCACGGTGCGCCTAATCAGTGCGGAATGTTGGAAGACAGCCAGGTCTGGACCATTTAACCGGTCCTGACCATAAAAGAGAGCACGATGGCATTTTGACAAATTTTCACCCGTTGTTACTGTCCCGTCACGTTCATACGACCGACGCGTGATCCTTGCACGCGAACCTCCCTCCGAGAATTGGTTGCGAGTTCGAAATGAACAGCAATTGAAACACTGTCGTTGGCACTGTTCAAATTGTCAAAAATTGTTAACACTGTTCCGCGTTGAATGTATCTTAAATTAAATTCTATAATATATGCATATGTATGACGTAACGTAACATAATATTGTATAATGGAAAATTTAAAGTAAAGATCAATATAAATTCCGACAGAAGCACCACTATGATTACAATAATACAATGGGTGATCAAATCATTATGATTTTAACTGTATTTTTTGTAATTACAGTAGCTGAGTTTAACTTTTTTTGTGTGCTTTTATTGAAATATTACTACTTAAAAATTGATCAGTGTAAAAACCTGGATAGTGTGATTTTATTTCTACAGAAACACAGAAAACGTATTTTTCGTACTATGGCCTTATTAATTCGATCACCCACTGTAGGATAATCAGAAACTGGAAATACGTCATTTTTACGGGTGTGGGTAGACTTAGTGTTAAAATTCTATCACTATCACTTTTGTTTTCTTCTAATTTCAGTGTCATTCGATCACTACTCCCTTTGTATTTTTATTTTACCATTGTGTTTTCCAAATTCTGCATTCATTTATTTTTTCATTGTCGTCTATAGTTGCACATGTCATATGTGACAATTTTTCCTCTCTTTGTATTGATATTTTTTGTGCACTTGTAAATCTCAAGTATAATTACCCTTATGTCTTACACAGAGTGTATCAAAGTGCTACCTTAATACATGCATTATTAAAATTACTATTCAAATTAATTTACAAGAGATTAATTTAAATTTTTAGTTCTGTTAAAATTTTATGTATAATTGTACCCCGTAAATATCTATATTTCTTATTAAAAGAAAATTGAATCCCGAAACATTCAAAAGAATTTGCTACTTAGGAATAATACTCTGACGTGCTATTAATCGATGACAGTTTTTTCATAGAAATAATACAGTAAAAAACAATATTTATGTAGTTATTATTTAGATAGTGTATTTTATAAATCTATGTTTTATTTTCATTTTATTTGTCGGGAATAGTAAAACTTTAACTTTTCTCAAGTTTTGCAAAGAACTGAATCCCAAGGATGTAGAAGTCTCCAAAAAGGGAATTTTCAAAATGTTTTAAATTATAAACGGTTTTTCTATTGTTACCGAGTTACAAACAAGAATCTGCCAAAGAAGCACATAGAAGCATTATCATCAATACCTCGGTGTTAGTAAACGTTAGTCATTATCAGATAAGTCAACTTATCGTTATATAAAACGAAAGCAAATACTCCAAAGATTAAGTGAGCTTTTTAGTTATTGTTTCCTTTTGTTTAAACGCAATAAAGATATAATAAAGATGCGTTAAGAAACAGATGACTAACATCCGAGTAAGTTTTGTATTCTGCAAATAATCCAGCCACGTGTCATATTCTTGAGCATTGTACTACTTGCAACAATAACAATATAAATAACATTTCGAAATTTATACCGTAAAATTATTAATCATAGCAACTTCGAAAATTCTGTTTACATTTCGTTAAGTAAACAATTCTACAATTGTCGTAATAAATGCTTTTAATTTTAGTTCAAATTATGACACGTCTAAATAATAACAAATATTTAAAGAAGCATTAGTCAAGTATATTCATATATATATATACCCCGTTAAGTGTAATCTACGGGTAATACGCCATTTCTTGTCAATTTGGAAATATATTATACTAATTACAAGCTAAAAAGTAGTCTAATGTTTCGAACTTAAACTTGTATCTGAGTCCTACTAAAATATTTCATTAAAATGGTAATATAACATTATTAAAAAATACAATAAGAAACTACATACTCTTATGGACAGATAAGAAAGCATTCCAAGAACTCAAGACTCGAACATTCAAAGATACGTAATTCAGTGAAATAAGACTGTTTCGATCAGACAACCGGGTGAAGTTCATTGTCGGGTCTCAAGGCACCAGAGAGTTAGGCACAGTTTTATTCGCGTGAAACACACAATTAAAAGCATCCGTATCCAAAGAACGTCACCCTGATCTTTAAACAGTTAATGAGCTTGAATAATCGTTTGCCAAGAGTCTACTCATTCAAGAACGAAGTACCATTTGATTTTGAAAAATTGGAGTTTGCGCGTTTAATCAGTCGAGAATCGCGAAATACTTTATTCTTTTTATTAGTTATTCAAATATCCAGATCAATGAATTTGCCTATATCTGCCTAGCACACACTTAACCGGTACCAGAAATTATCGGTAAAACGATTCATGCACGTACACCGTGTTCAGTGGATACTCACATACATCACTGACGACATATCGTGTCACTGTGAATTATTTAATAAACAAGGAAACAGACTAAAACTAATTAATACTGTTCGATACGAAGGAATTAGCGAGTAAAGTCGGAAACGATTGGTCGATGGCTCGCGTGTGTCGCGACGTCGCGTGTTCTTATGCCTTCGACGACTCTCGCTCGGTGAATACGTCGTCGCGACGCCGCGCGGCTTTTTATAAGACCGCGGGGACGTCAAAAATCTCCCACCAAGAATTTCCGGAGAGCCGGCACACCACGAACGAAATATTTGTCCCGTTCACGTGCCAATTTCGCGGGAATTCGCAGCTTTTGATTGGCTGCCAGCGAACAAACGAGAGCCGCCTGTGCACCGGAAATGATGAATCTTCGATTCTGTCCTCATTGCACAGCTGGTTCGGTCACTCGCGAATCCATTCATGAACCACCGCCTCGAAGTCATCTCTCGCGGGCGGCCGTTTGTGTTTGTTTACACCGCGAACACTCGCGGCTGAACGTGTTACAGATCGAAATAGTTGCCCTTGAAAATTCTTTATGGTCCATTGATCGATGATAGAGACGATTCTTTTTTTTTTTTGAAACGAAGAATTCATAGCTGTACTGTTCAAGAATTAATAACTATAGAATAGAATTATTCACATTACAAGTACTAGCAGTGAATGTATACTAAATTAACTTGCAAAATTTAGTAATATATATAATACAGTCTCATATGAAATGTATACTAAATCAGAAGTCAAGAATAAATTCCATAAAAAGTGTTATTAGAACCTCAGAAATTGTAAAATCAGAAACCTGCAATCTGTCATTTTGACGGGTTTGTTAGTTCTAAAGTCGTAACAATCTATTCAGTTTCAAGTAGTTGTCTTCGAAAATTCTTTATTGGTCCATTGATCGATGATAAAGACGATTCTTTCGTTGAAACGAAGATTAATAACAGTGGAGTTGAAGAATTTATAACTGTACAGTAGAATGATTAAAGTCGTAACAGTCTATTAGGATCCAAATAGTTGTCCTCGAAGATTCTTTATGATCCATTGATCGATCATAGGAACGATTCTTTTTTTGAAACGAAGATTCGTAACAACAGAGTTGAAAAATTTATAACTGTACAGTGGAATGATTAAAGCCATCACAGTCTATTTCAGATCCAAATAGTTGTCTTCGAAAATTCTTTCTCGTCCATTAATCGATGATAGAGAATATTCTTTTTTCAAAACGAAGACTTATTAGGTTGGTAAGAAATTAATGTTGATAACATTTTTTTCAATCCTTGTTGATCAAATCTTTATCTTCAAAACCACAGAGCTCCCCTTGACTTTCCTAGCTGCCTCAGGTGGTCAATAATAGTTGGGCGACGAATTGTGCGTGGATCAGTTTCCGTTGTTGGTAACGACAGATGGTCGTCCACGACCTTCTTCATTTTCGAAGTTCTCATCTCGGTGTCAGAATTTTTTGAACCAACATTGCACCATGTGTTCATTCATGGTATCTTGTCGAAATGTTTCTTTAACTCTCAGACACCACACTAGGCGTGTTTAACACTCGGACCACGTGAATTTGCAACATTATATTTTCCTAGTATAACGGTTTCAAATTTTTCATAGTTTAAAAATTATTTCCCACTTTTGCAATTATTAATTGCTGAAGAAATTTTACCCTAAAAAATATGTTACGAATTCAATTTGCTTGTATTCTTTTCAAGTTCTTAATCATCATTCGTTCAAAACCCTATTTCGGACTAGTATGTTGTTTACGTATGCTGAGGTGGAGTGTGGTTTCTGAAGGTTAATATGACGAGTCGCTTCGGCAGCTTTTTGACCAAATTTATACTCATATAAGACAACTATACGAATTTACTATACGAACTACGTCTTCAAGTCAATAATCTGAAGTGAGCACAAATTGACAGTAAAAATAAAAGTATACCTACTAATATGTAGAACGACATTTGAACGGTAAAATGATGTTATACCATAAGCAGAATGAAGTGAGTTATCTCAAAACCAATGTAAGGGTCAACGATTGAAAACTTGAAAACCAACATTAATTTCTTACGAACCTAATAACTGTAATACATATATGTATAGGCAGGTGAATGATTAAGCTATTCACCTCCAAATAGTTGTCCTCGCAAATTCTTTATCGTCCATCGATTGTTGATGCAGATAATTTTGGTTTTTTACACGAAGAATTGATAACTATAGAGGATTAAGTTTGCAACTATCTATTCTTATCTTTGATAGCGCGTGTCGCAGAGATAATCACGTTCCTACTTTAGATTCTCACGTAGGTGTTTGTAATTAGAAAGATTTGCAATGTTTCACTTTTTCCATTCATCGATACGAATTAGTATTATATTCTTAAAGAAATTATTATCTAGAACATGTTCTATGGTCCGGATATGGTCCAGACATGGGATGGGTAAAAAGAAGTATTGGCACGTATCCACATTTTTAAAATAATTTCCCAGACCCCTAGATTATGTCACAAAAGTTTCCATTAAATATTAGGCGTGCGCAAACATTTTCACGGATTTCGCTCTAAAACAGAAGACCAATAATAATTTGAATTATAACTTAATAACAATTTAATAATACACCCAACGAAGACGATTCTTTTATAACACATGCATTTTCAATGGTAATTTGTGTTCTAATAAATACATTTTTAGGAATATAATTATTTCTTTAATTTACATAATAATTAAATTATAAGTATTAATAAATTTACAATTTACCACTAATTATAAGTGGAATTAACGGGGGAAACCTCCTAGTTTGGACAGAAACTCGTATTCGATTAGTCTTATACTTAGGAATAAACCGATACTGTCAAGGTATCGATTCTTTTACTCATAACTTGCATCTAAAAAAAGTATTGCAACAAAAATATCATTACTTACTTGTATCGCAGGAAAATGAAAAGAAAGTTCTTTTTTATTAATATAGTATATTCTAACCAGAATTGAGTAGAATTTTATTCGACTATTTAGTAAAAAGCTGCAGTATCTAAGAGTATCATCCTGAAGTTTAAACAGTTAACGTGACTAAAAAGTTGCTTGCCAAATGTCGACTCATTTAGGAAGAAGTATTATTCTGTTCTAAAAATTTGAACTTCCACGTTTAAACGATCAAAAATGACGAAGAACTTTGTAATCTTTTGTTCGTCGCTCGAAATTCTTTATCTAGATAATGAATTTGTCCATCTCAGATTTTAACGAAGATATATGTTTTTCATGAACATTTATTAACAAAGTAATATAACTGGACGACAGCCACCTTTACATTCATCACCTTTCACATCGATTACACGCCCATTCGATATGAATACTTTATTTCGACACCAAGTATATACCGCACCCGAAAGTATGGATACTAAAAATACTCGATATCCAATCGAAAGTATCGATTATTACGCTTGTATTTACTTGGATCGGTTCATCCCTACTTACACTCAGAACACATGACCGAAAGACCGTCATTAGAAGCCTTTGTGAACTACGCTGTTACCAACATGGCGCCTCGTGTTTGCCAAGAATCCTCAAATACCAATCTTCTGAGGCTTTCTTTGGCGTATAAATGGTACTCTCAGCCCAGAGATTGGCGTTCAAGTGTGTTCAGGACGTAATCGACAAAGTTTCTCGCGTCTCGAAGCAACCAGAGATGTCTGGTGCCCCTGATTTATGCGCCCCCTTCCCCCATCCCTCGCCACTCACCCGATGCAGCTCGTATATTGCCATTTTGTCAGTGACAAACTGTTTTCCCGATCAGATGTTAATTCGGGAGATCAGAACACGGCAAAAATGATCCCACCTCTCGTCGAACGAGAGTACCGGTACTCGTTCCGGTGTCTTTTTGGCAGCTACGTCTCAACCATGATTTCCTAAATTGTCACGCGATCGTCACGTGAACCGGGGCCGATTTAGAAGATCTCGTTCGGGAATGATTGAGGCGGGTAACATCTTTAACACTAGAACTACTGATGATAAACGCATATTTCCTTGAATCGGTGGATAAACGTGAAAAACTTTTGAACATTTAGAAACTGACTAATTTCTTCATTTTAATATCGTAAGAAAAGGTGCAAAGGATCTGAGAAAATGTATCGTCGTAACATTTTAATCGTCGTTGTAAGAGTGTATTGACAAGTCATTTTGACTTGCTTGGTAGTTCTAGTGTTTCTTGTAAAAGACATAGGCGACAAGTGTGCCTTTGATATTCTGTAAAACAATCGAATTGGCGGAATAGAATAGAATTTGCGCGGAGACTAACAAGGAGAAGGATATTTCCTCTTCCTATAAGTGAGGGATATTTTCCTCTGTGAATACAATATGTAATCAAATTCATATTGTTACTATTTATTGAATTACTTATAAATAATGTAAAATGTTTTTTTTTCTTGGCATGAAAATGACATTGCAAAAAAAAATGGTATCTCCATGCTACAGGTGATTTCTGAGGTCAGATTCATCTGAAACAAAAAATTCAAGAAGATTCTTAACTAGAATGAGTTTTGCTATCGCAGGAACCACAATGAATACTTATTAAGCACCTTTTTTCGGTGATTTTGTTATGTAAAAGGTACAATAAATGAAAGATATAAGCATGACTGTGCTTCCTGCGACAGATGAATTATTTTGACAATTTTTTTATATTATTTAAAGTACTTCAATAAATAGTAATAAGATCCATTTGATTACATATTATATTTACTAAGGAAAAAATTCCTAAACATAGTTTAAAAGGTTACATACCTTTAAGCTGTTAAATAAGAGGGAAAATTAAACAAAATTTGCACATATGCAGAATTATTGTTTACCAAGAATTCAACATATACATCTCGTGATGTCATTCCTTGGCAGTAAAAATGAATGCCACATTTTTACTCAGAATTTGATACTCTATCTATAATACAAAAAATAGGCCATTCCGTTAAAAAAAATCAAGGTATCCTTGAAATCTCTGAAATGTCCCCACCCACAAAAAAAGCACGTACCTTATAAGATGTGTCCCTGATGCCATTTAAGTTCTACGTCTAAAAATTTTCATAAAGAAGTCATTATTTGAGGTAATCAAGTTAGCTGAGACACCCTGTATTACCTATCCTGTATAATACAGGATCTTACAATCAGCGTGCACCGTCTAACAAGGGAAGGCAAGGAAGCATCCCC